GGTAGGGCCCATCACAAGATACCAAGCACAACATCAATATCTACTCTTTGGACAGAGATATTGACTTGTAAGCGATACTCTTGACATAGTGATCAAACATTGATGATAAAACAATGTATCAATCAATAAACCTTACTTTGGACTGATTTATTGATCACACATTAAATCAAATAATCGTCACACGTTTATCACTAGAGGTGCAAGTATATTCGGCTAAATATTGACCTTCCCTTGGGCCGATCAATATTCCCATGAATAACACATGTTCAAATACCTTTTAATAATCTAAATTAATTAATTTCCACAAGAGAGGTTGCTTTGACAACATGTTGCTTCAATTAACTAACTTTCAAATATTATATCTCTTAAAAGAGTCCTTAATACCAAAATTTAAGAAAGAGAATCACAAATTTTGCATATTTTGTTTAGTTTTAAACTTTAGGGGCCTTAGGATTAATAATTCAAGACTTTAAGGGGGCAAAATTAATTAATTCCAAACTTTAGGGCCCAAATTGATCAATTCAAAACTTTAGAGGATCAATTCGAACAAATTTAAAACTTTAGGGGCAAAAAATTGACCAATTCAAAATTTTAAGGATCAAATTTTGAAAATTTGAAACTTTGGGTGTCAATTTGAATTAATTATAAACTTTGGGGGCCAATTTGAATTAATAATTAAAGTTTGGGGGCTTTAATTATAAAATCCAGAACTTTAATGGCCCGAATTAATTAATTTTTAAACTTTAGGGACTGAATTATTAAATCCAAAACTTAAAGGCCCAAACTTGAATATAACTTAAATATTAGGGACTGAAACCTTAATTTTATAACCCTAACCCTAATTGCAAGCAGAGGCCTCAAGTTATCCAATTTACACGTGAGGCCACCGCCCCCAAAACATAAAAAAATAAAACTAAAAATAAAAATAAAAAAATAAAAAAAATCTTCCTTTTTATTTTGCGGCGCATCGATCGAGCAGCAGTGCGAGCTACTGTCGTTATGCAGCAACCGCTCTGCTAAGAGCGGCCGACGACAATGCTGCCGTAGGTACTGCCTCCTGGCAGTCAAAAAAAATAATTTTTGTTTTAAACTATACCAAAATCTATATATTTTTTTTTAAATCTAAAATTTTCTTCATCTATTAATATGAATAATGAAAGATAATAATAAAAAATATACCTCAAAAGTTTTCAAATTCAACTAAATATAAATCCAAAATTGTTAAATATGAAAACTTCAAAAAATATTGCAATAACCAAATAAATTATTCGATTCTCTATGATTCAACATAAAAAGGCTTTGATACCACTTGTAGGATAATTTATTACTTTAAATCACCGAATCTCTCATGTTAAATTATCAAGAAATTGAAGAATTATAGCGGAAGCGTACCTGAATTAGACATGGTTGTTTGCAATAATTGAATCCTGCAGTATAGTCTTCCAAATCTACACGTAGCCTCCTTTTTCTTTTTGTGATGGGATGCAGAAGAGAATAAATAATACGTACTCTACGTGTGATTCGAGGATCATAACTATATGTGTGTGTGTGTGTGTCCTTTTGACCTAATTCGGCCTATCATGTAATTAAGGACTTGGGCCCGATCTCTATAAAATAAACTCATACTTTAATTGGATACATAACAGTCTAAAATCAAAAATTTATTAGATCACTTTTATCTGGATTTAATCGAATTTGATAGCCTCACACATATAAGTCCATCTATTGTTTAAAAAATCCTTAGACTAGGCCCTTGTAAATTGGTCATAATGGGTTTTCCATCTATGGTCAATTCATGAACCTAACATGATATGCTTCCATATCCCCTTTCTCACGCATTGAAGATTCCAGTTTTTTTCAAGATGATGAAGTGAAATCTTCTCTTAAATTTTGACTAGATTTCCCATGTCTACATCAACATCTTAAATTCCAGCTTAGCTGTGCCACAGTTGTGTCAAGTCGGTATGCAGTTGTTATGGAGACCTGATAATCCGACAAGGAAGACAGGAAAACAATATCTTGAGGTTTTTCTAGATTCTAGGATTGCTTTCATGTATATGTTCAATTGCAGAAAAAATGTTTCTCTAAGTTTTCTGTGCTTGCAAATTATTTTTGACGTAGAAGGATGATTATCCAATTAAGGCACTATTGGTGATTACTTTCAGACAGAGGAGACATAGGCAAAATGTTCCTTGAAAAATTAAGATGTTTTGAAGTCACAAATTTCGTTTACTTGGTCATAATTATGACCTCATCTTTTGGACTGGGTGTGCCTTGTGATTTGGGAGTTTTTATGGCTAGGACATTTCGGGCCTACCTTCAACTGTAGGTCTCTCAACTGTCCCTGGGCATCGAGGCTTCGCCGATTGAGCCGCAATTTGTAAGTGCAAGGCATTTCCTTGGGAATTGACTAAATTTGCAATATTAATATCTGAATCGAGTTCTTCTACAAGATGAAATTCTTTCATTTTTCTTGAAGCATATGACTATAGGTAAAACAATAGCCGTTTGTTGGACGACGAGTTTCAATTGTCTGTGCCTTCTTGGAGGAAGTAGGGGTTACTACTTGGGAGTGAGTACAACTTAAGAACACCTAGTGGCTTTATGGAAATACATTTAGATTCCAAGGTATGGTACACTCCAAAATACCTCGCAGTTCTCTTATCTATACACCATTTGCTGCATATTTTTCTCCGATCACTTGCTAGAATCGAAATCAAAGATCAAAAGATATAAATACTATACGAAATAATAGCTCTAGTGGAAGACCATAACATGTCGTAAAAAGGATGTGTTGAATGTGAAAAATGAGAAGAGAAGAAGAAATGTTGAACTTTGAAGTCTGTTATAAGTTTCAAGTTAAAAATTAAACAATAATTCATTAAAAGCTACCCTCCACTAATTTCACAAATTCATTAAAATCTATTTTCCCATCTCCATTTTCGTCAAACACCCTGATCATTCTCCTGCAGTTCGCTATCTCTGATCCTTCCTTTAAGCACAGAGAACATAGAACAATTTGTAACTCTCTTGCATCAATAAATCCATCTTTATTCTGGTCGAACACGTCAAAAGCTATTTTCGCTTCATCTAAACAAGGATTTTTCTCTTCAAACATGTCGAAAAAGTCATTAGCATCGAGTTTTTCTGGAAGCTTCCCTTCTTCAGGACTGTAAAAAAACCCCATACTTCTAAGAACCATCTCTATATCTCCTTTACAAACGCTTCCATCAACCATCTTCTCTCTGAAGGACGGTTTCTTCTCGGATAACTCAAAAACTCCATTCCTTCCAGCCTGAACTTTGGAATCATTGAACCTAGTTAATTGGATTGAAAACTCATGTTCTGATAAAAAACTGCAGATTTTCTTCCTGTTGAGGATTACGTGGAGCACGAGGAAATCGACCAATACAAGAATCAGAAAAATAAGTTGAATTGTATTCATCGATATATTCTCTAGGGGAAATTGATCGAGATAAATGAGAGACATGGTTAATGATTTACTCCCGATGAAAAAGAATTAGAATGTTTAAAAAGATCTCTTAAATGCAGATGGAGACTAGATTACTGGAATTGATATTATGAAATTGAAGATGAGAAGGGTTTATATACATGGATTATATACATCATGATAGAAAGTGGAAAGTCTCTGGAAATTGATGGCTTTCAAATTAGAGGAAGGTGCTCGTAAGGTGCAGTCTCGTCTTTTTTGGTGTAAAAGCATGAAGAAAATTGTTACAGCAAGGAAGTTTCTTTGTTACTTGGCATTGCAGAAGTGGATGTGGTAGCCTGGTAGGGTCAGTTGGCCTGATTTTCTTGTTTTTTATGTGGAAATTATTAAGAAATCGCCCCCAGTTTT